TTGGGAGTTCCGTCGCATCCTGGAACATTGTTTTGTGACAATCAAGCGGCTCTCCATATCGTCGCTAATCAGCTTGATTGTCATTTTGTTCAAGACAAAATCCAATCTGGTCTTCTTTGTGCTAAATATCTTCCTACTACTCAGTAGGTGGCTGATCTCTTCACCAAATCCCTTAGAAAAGTCCAATTTCTTCATCTACTTAGCAAGTTGGGAGTTCATTGCCTTTAGTCTCCAACTTGAGGGGGAGTATTAGGATGTTTGTTTTCGTTATTGTGTCTGTGTACAGCTGCATAATTTTCTATTATAGGAAACCAATTGTATGATTTGTTTTGATTAAGGCAGCCTCGATGGCTTTGTCTAAGGCAAGACATGGGCTGCCAATTGTATCTAGTTTGTATATAAATACCTTTGTAATACATAAATGATATACATAATTTTTCTCACCAAATTTTTACAAAGAATATATTGATTAGTTTTATATATGAGTTCCGCTTTACGAGAATTTAGTTTTTTGTTTATGAGCTGAAGCTTGCCATTTTTAACATTAATCCTTTGTCTAAGAATATATTGCTTTGTTTTATGAGTTCCTCTTTATGGGAATCTCGCTTTCTCTTTATGAGTTTGAAGCTTGCTACGTTTAACATTTTGGGGGTTGGTACTTATAGTCATCTACAAATCAAGCTAGGATACTGTTGTTCAATCTTCCCTCAAATTCATTAGTCGGCTGTACACAATCAACTGTTTTATATGCCTTTGCATTTTTTTTAGTGTTTTATATTGAGCTTCTGTTTGGTTGGTGACAATGTGAGGATTTGATGTATAGTATTTGGTAGTGTAATGGTTGGAGACATTTGGATTGAAAGTACCCATTTGGCCTTCTAATTCCATGCATTGCTATGTCATTGATAATGGCATCTTCTTTTTTGGTTATTGTGACATTTTTCTCCTTAAAAAGTATGACAATTATTATGGTCGTTTCATGCAACGTGGAATGAACACGCTCAAGTTGGTTGTCGATTGGTAGTTATAATATTGCATTGGGAGTTCGTCAAACCTTTTATTTTTTTAATATATTTTTTATTTTTCTTAGATTTTTAGTGCATTTAAGCTTAAATTTGACGTTAAATAAATTAAATACACGAATGCATTACATACATAAATCATAGTTTGAAATAATTCACCTGCCGTGCTCATGTACATCAACTAGAATAATAAAATTGTCCACTGTGATGAATGAATTGCATGACACATGATTCAGGTTGAACTCGCCAACTAGATGACCCAAATTGAGCACTGCTTGAATTTTTTTTGAGTTACGATTATTTGTCCTACCCAAATATTAGAAACGTCTACATAAGAACAAAATTTTGCATATAGGTATGGGGTGTGGAAAAATCCACCCAAGTTATATCTCTGTCTATCTATCTATATAATAAAATAGTTAGATTTATTTGTCTTTTGTTTTTCACGGCTCAGGTCGCTTGAAAAAATATTGATCCGACAGTCCTAATACGAAACTTCCTCTCCCCCCAATTTTTTGAGTAAAACTTTCATTCCTTTCACAATTCTAAAACTCCTATCTCTCTCTATCTCATACTGCACATTCATTAAGTCGTTAGGTCGTTAATTATGATTCTAATTAAAAATTATTTTTAAAAATTTTAAATAAACAAATGGACATTAAATACAAATTCTTTGTGTCAAAACAAGTCGAATGACTATAATATATGTCATATTTTATATTGAAATGAAAATATTATAATGGTATAATAGATGAATAATATATATGTAATATAATATATCTATATACTAAGGGAGTTAACATTATTTGTCTTAAGCTTTTCGTGACTTGGATTGTTTTAAAATTATTGATCAAACGATTGAAATTCTTCCTCCAAATTTTATTTTACTCGATTATTTGTTCGAAGTGATTATGATTAGGATTTGAATTGAGCTAAATTTAATTGTCGAGTAAAAAGTATATATTTTTACTCAAACTTAACTTTACTTGAATTTTACGAGGATTCAAGTTAAAGTCAAATTAAAATTGATTGTAAAAGTAATAAAAAATAACCAAATTAAAAAAAATGGCATTACGGTGAATGAGAATAGATAAGAATTAGTTTGTAGGTTCAGATAAAAATGTTAATTAAGTCGAATTTAAATTCAATTTTCGGTTTGACGTAATTATAATTAAGACTCGAATTGAGCTGAATTTGATTGTCGAGTATAAAAATTCTTGCTTAAATTTAAAGGGTGGGGTTATTCCCATCTCCAAATCTTCATTCCCACCCTATTTAATTTTTTATTATCAAACTATTAAGTTTGCCCTTTCTATACCCACCTCATGCTATATACATCTCTTTAAAAAAAACGAAACAAAGAAAAAAAAAAGAAAGAAATAAGCAATCGAAACAAGAAGGAAAAAAAAAAACTAAGCAAAGATTAAAAGAATAAGCAAAACTATAAAACACAAAAACCACAAGATGTAAAACCAGAAATGAAAAAAAAAAAGGTATCAAGCACAAAAACAAAATTGAATAAGAAAAAAAATAACAAGCATAAATGCAAAACCTAAACAAGATAAGAAAAATAACAAATAATTTGAAAGCATATATATATATATATATACACACACATATAAATTTTAAATAAAAAATTATTAAATTTGATAGAGATATCAAAACATATCGAAAGTAATGAAAATTCATACAACAAACAGGAAATCAAACATAGAATTAAATTGAGAAGAAACATTAACATGTCTCTCACTGGAAAAATTTATATTAAAAAAGTATTTTTGTGAGTGCGTGAAATGAAATAAATAATGAAACTCTAATTATGACAAAATATACTGTGAGTTTACTTATTAAATGAGGTATATATAGCATGGGGTAGACTTAATTGTTAATGGGGTGAATATATAAGGGGTGGACGTGGTAATTTGATAATGAGAAATTAAATAGGATGAGAATGGAGATTTCCCACTGAAACTTAAATTCAATTGAATTTTACGAATATTTATGTTGAATTCAAATGAAAACTAATCTTAATTTCTCAATAAATTTTTTTATATTTACGAGAATTCACGTGAAATTTTTGGATGTTTTCTNTCGGTTTGACGTAATTATAATTAAGACTCGAATTGAGCTGAATTTGATTGTCGAGTATAAAAATTCTTGCTTAAATTTAAAGGGTGGGGTTATTCCCATCTCCAAATCTTCATTCCCACCCTATTTAATTTTTTATTATCAAACTATTAAGTTTGCCCTTTCTATACCCACCTCATGCTATATACATCTCTTTAAAAAAAACGAAACAAAGAAAAAAAAAAGAAAGAAATAAGCAATCGAAACAAGAAGGAAAAAAAAAAACTAAGCAAAGATTAAAAGAATAAGCAAAACTATAAAACACAAAAACCACAAGATGTAAAACCAGAAATGAAAAAAAAAAAGGTATCAAGCACAAAAACAAAATTGAATAAGAAAAAAAATAACAAGCATAAATGCAAAACCTAAACAAGATAAGAAAAATAACAAATAATTTGAAAGCATATATATATATATATATACACACACATATAAATTTTAAATAAAAAATTATTAAATTTGATAGAGATATCAAAACATATCGAAAGTAATGAAAATTCATACAACAAACAAGAAATCAAACATAGAATTAAATTGAGAAGAAACATTAACATGTCTCTCACTGGAAAAATTTATATTAAAAAAGTATTTTTGTGAGTGCGTGAAATGAAATAAATAATGAAACTCTAATTATGACAAAATATACTGTGAGTTTACTTATTAAATGAGGTATATATAGCATGGGGTAGACTTAATTGTTAATGGGGTGAATATATAAGGGGTGGACGTGGTAATTTGATAATGAGAAATTAAATAGGATGAGAATGGAGATTTCCCACTGAAACTTAAATTCAATTGAATTTTACGAATATTTATGTTGAATTCAAATGAAAACTAATCTTAATTTCTCAATAAATTTTTTTATATTTACGAGAATTCACGTGAAATTTTTGGATGTTTTCTTCACCAAAGTTATACGAACTCACATTGGAAAAATGGTGTAAAGACAATGTTATAAACTTTAAGTAGAAACCTGCAGAAAAACAGAGAGTTATATTTTTTTGAAATTTGAGATAAAATTTATTAAAAATATTAAAATTATAGATGTTTAATCAATAATAATTATATTTTCTCAAATTTTTGAATTAAAAATTTGATTTTATATCTTCTGTATACAGGTTGAACAATATCAATTTAATTATTGTATTGTTGAAATTGTATTATACATTACCTTTGTTTATGAAAAAAATATTTATAATTTTTTACGAGTAATGTAGTACTTTCGCGTAAAGATAATTACTAATATTTTATAATTACTCAAACGAGATAGAGAGCTTCAGAAGTCTTCCCCACTCATTCTCATAATTTAAGTTTTTTACGTTTAAATTACAAAACTAAGGTTTTGGGATTAGAAAAGGAATGGGTGGTAAATCCTGTGAACAGCATGGTTCTTTGGATAGCATATAATTCAAAAAAATAGAAAAAAAAATGAAGCGAGGGATGTGGATCCAAAAGAATAAGCGGAATGGCCTAGACCAAATGCAAATATATAAATAGGTGGTTTTTCTTGCTCCTCTTCTACCTCCTTTATCCACTCAAAGCTCCTCACTTTGAGGCGTCCCTGATCTCAACTTCCTCTCTCTGAAAGGTCCATTAACGGCTTTTTATTTCTTTCTTGACAATGGCGATGAATATATGGTGACAGTATACATATAAACGATTCCACATTTATCATCTCATACATATTGGGCATAACTGTCTCGATACCTTGCCACTTAAACCAGAACCATCTAGGCTTTTTTGGCTCAATTTCTCCTCTGGGTACATCTGAGATCTGCAAGAGGTTCATCAAAAAATTGGTGATCAATGAATTATTTGTGTAGATTCAAGAAATGGGTATTTTTTTCTTGCATGTTTCTTCAATTGGTTGATGGGTTCTATTTACCTGGTAGTTACCCACATAAATACAATGTGGGTGATCAATTATCCGTGAAAGTCAATTCCTTGACCTCAATAGATACAGAAATACCATATAAGTATTACAGTTTGCCCTTCTGTAAACCTCTGGAGGGTGTCAAGGATAGTGCTGAAAATCTAGGTGAGCTCCTAATGGGAGATCGAATTGAGAACTCTCCATATCGATTCAAGATGTACACAAATGAGAGTGAGATCTATTTGTGTAAATCCAATCCGTTATCGGCTGATGAATTTAAGATTCTGAAAGAAAGAATTGATGAAATGTATCAGGTTAATCTTAATCTTGATAACCTACCTGCAATTAGATATATGAGAAAAGATGATTTCCTTCTCAGATGGACTGGTTATCCTGTGGGGATTCAGGTTCAAAATGTTTATTATGTGTTTAACCATTTGAAATTCACAGTTTTAGTTCATAAGTATGAGCAGACCAATATGGCTGATGTGATTGGAGCCGGAGATGGGGCTGAGTTGATTACTACCACCAGTGATAAATCTAGCACTGATGTTAAAGGGTACATGGTTGTTGGATTTGAGGTTGTTCCTTGTAGTTTTCAGCATGGTAATGAATTGTTGAAAAACGTCACAACGTATGGCAAGTACCCTTCATCAATAGTATGTGATCCGTCAACAGTGGCAATGGCGATAAAGGAAGGCCAGCCGATCACTTTCAGCTATGAGGTCTCCTTTGTGGAGAGTGATATCAAGTGGCCATCGAGGTGGGATGCATATTTGAAGATGGAAGGATCAAAAGTCCACTGGTTTTCGATTCTCAATTCTCTGTTGGTGATCTTTTTCCTAGCAGGAATAGTTATTGTAATATTCTTGAGGACTATTAGAAGAGACTTGGCTCGTTATGAAGAGCTTGACAAGGAGGCTCAGGCTCAGGTAAACGAAGAATTATCTGGGTGGAAGCTTGTTGTGGGAGATGTTTTTCGGGCACCAAACAATCCTGAACTTCTTTGTGTAATGGTTGCAGATGGGCTTCGGATTCTGGGAATGGCGGCTGTGACAAACTTTTTCGCTGCTCTTGGATTTATGTCTCCGGCTTCTCGTGGAGCCCTGATTACAGGCATGCTTCTCTTCTACATTTTCTTGGGAGTTGTGGCTGGTTACGTTGCTGTTTGGCTTTTGAGGACAATAACATGTGGTGAATCTAGAGGATGGTTTTCTGTTTCCTGGAGAGTTGCTTGTTTCTTTCCTGGAATAGCTTTCCTCATATTGACAATCCTGAATTTCCTCTTATGGGGAAGTCATAGCACAGGGGCAATTCCATTTTCCACATATTTAGTCCTGCTATTACTCTGGTTCTGTATTTCTGTGCCCCTTACCCTTTTGGGTGGCTTCATTGGTACCAAAACACCGCGCCTTGAATTTCCAGTTCGAATCAATCAAATTTCTCGCGAGATTCCAGCACAAAGATTTCCTTCCTGGTTGATAGTCTTTGGAGCGGGAACTGTCCCATTTGGGGAAATTTTCATTGAGCTTTTCTTCATCATGTCAAGCATTTGGCTTGGCCGCGTTTATTATGTTTTCGGGTTTCTCTTCATTGTTCTAATCCTCCTGGTGGTGGTGTGTGCCGAGGTTTCTCTGGTCATTACTTACATGCACCTCTGTGTGGAAGATTGGAGATGGTGGTGGAAATCCTTCTTTGCATCTGGTTCGGTTGCCATTTACATCTTCTTGTACTCTGTTAACTATCTTGTGTTTGATCTTAAGAGCCTGAGTGGACCAGTCTCTGCTGCTCTTTACCTGGGTTACTCTCTTTTCATGGCCATTGCAATTATGTTGGCAACTGGTGCTGTAGGGTTCTTGTCGTCTTTCTTGTTTGTTCATCGCCTTTTCTCTTCAGTGAAGATAGACTAAAGGCCATCTCATCAATTCCTCTTTCCAGATTGGTGGTGGATTATCAATTTATCATAGAAGAATGGTTGTGGATATCCATTGGAAAAAGAACAATGCATTCCTCAAACATTTGCTATTTTGTTTTTGTCATTTGGGTAATAATATTTTTTTTTCTAATTTTTGCAAGTTTTTTTTAGAAAGGTTGCTGCTTTGTTATCATTTATAATTGAGGTTCGAAAGTACTCGAAACATGATGATATTACCCGTTTTGGAAGGACGGATTCTTGGACTCAAACCCACAACGTGTACCAAGGCTCTGAAATGCGCAATTGTTTTGAAGACTGTATGGGTGTGTTTGGTTTGATGGATAAAGGGGCATAACACCAGCTGGATTGGGTAAAATAATCCGGGGGCCAACAAAACCCAACTTTTGATCCACAACATTTAATGGGATAATCGTTGGGGTCAAAAAATCGGTCCGTATACTTTGAGGCCACTTATCCCCTCTGAACCGGCTACCTTTAACCCACCTGAACTTTGGGATTTCTAAGCCCACCGAAAGGATAGGTGATGTAATTACCAAAACACCCATATACAGTAAATTAGCTAGGGTTTTTATCTCATTTTCTCTCCATTTCACCCCACTAGTCTCCCTTTCTTGCAAACGGCGCTCACTAGCCCCCCTCACATGCCCGAAGGTCTCTCTCTCTCTCTCTCCCTTGCTTCGTCTGTTGTGCTTTCTCTGTTAGTCATCTGTCATAACAAAGTCGGCGATTCATCGTTTGGCTCACAGAGGAGGCGTGAAACGTATCAGTGGTCTAATCTACGAGGATACTCGTGGTGTGCTGAGTGATTTAGAGAGATACATATTATTTAGTACCTCATATTGATTGATCATATGATATTTAATTATGAAAATTTATTATAATATCCCGATTTGGAAAATTCTATAAGTGAAGATGGATGGTTGTCACCAAAGTAGTCTATTCATTGAAATTTAAAGTTTTTTCTCGTACTTTTGTTATGGGATTGTCTCTAAATTATAATATACAATTACCTGTCAAAAGAGAGTTGTTGTGTATTGTAATTTGGAGATGTCATTAAACATTGAGGTAGAGGTACAATAGTCTATAAGGTTTATCTGTCCAAATAAGATAAATTTTTCAAAACTTGAGCATTCTTATTGATTATTTTCATGAAAAGAGAAGACCTATAGCATATTACATTCTCTGTCCAAAAGGGAGTTTGTAGTGATGTATTTGGACTCTCTTAATAAAATATGTCTTATTATGTTTAAAACATATTTTATTTATTTATTGCCTAATTTTGCTAATTTTTTATATTCTTGTTGCCTTGTAAAGTCTCTTTTGTTGTGAATAGTAATAATGTCAATATTGAAGTCTTGACTGGTTATAATTATAAGAGATGGAAGCAAGATATTGAGTTTGCCCTGGGAATTGCTGATATAGACTTTGTCTTAAAAGAGAATGAACTAGCTAAACCTATTAGTGAGAGTTCCCCCTGATGAAAAAGAACTTTATGCAAAGTGGGAGAAATCTAATAGGCTAAGTATAATTGCTATGAAAAGGTCTATCTCTGAACACCTTATGAGTGGCTTGCCTGAAACCAAGAATACTAAGGAGTTCTTCACCGCTGTAGGAGAAAGATACAAGATATCCAATAAGACTGAAACTGGGGACCTAATGAATGAATTAAGGAGTATGAAATATGACAATGTAGGTAGTGTTAGGGAATATATCATTAGAATGGTCCATGTTTAAACCAAACTCAAAGTCTTCAAAATTGTTATTCTTGATGATTTCATTATTCATCACACTCTTAACTCTTTGCCTCCTGAGTTTAGTCAAATCAAAACTGTCTACAACACCCAAAATGAGTTTTGGACAATTAATGATCTTTATCTCCAAGTGTGATTCTGAGGAAGAAAAACTTAGAAAAGACAAGAGTGAAACTGTCTTGTTTGTTTCTCAGCCTAAATTTAGTTTTAAAGGTCGGTATCAGGAAAATAATAGAAAATCTAATCATAATGCTCCAAATAATGGTCTAGATTTCAAAAGGCATGGTATTGGTCAGAATGTAGGAGGTCCTAAGGCTGCCATTAAAGATGTCAAGTGTTACTTTTGCAAGAAAAGAGGTTATAAGAAAAATGAGTGCACTCAATTTAAGTTTTGGTTAAAAAATAAGAATAAAGAAGAAGGTAATTCACTAGTCTTTGTTTGCTTTGAATCTAATTTTGTTAATGTCGCATTAAATTCTTGGTGGATTGATAGTGGGGCTTCTGTTCATGTTGCCATGGCTTTGTAGGGGTTCACAAGCAAATGGAGGCACCAAGTGAAGGGGAAGCCAAGTTTAAAGTAGAAGATAGCAATGAAATTCATGTTGAGTTCATAGAAACTGTTAGGTTGAATTTAGACACTGGTTTTCAACTAGTTTTAGAAAATACTTTTTATGTACCGTCATTTAGGCGAAATTTGATTTCAGTTTCTTTGCTTGATAAAATTATATATTGTTTTAATTTTAGTAATGGTAAAACTCAATTGTCTTTAAAGTTCAAAATTGTTGGTCACTGTGTTTTATCAGATGGTCTATATAGTATATGTTTAGCTGTCAATAATGAATATGATCTTTCAAATATTGTGAATGTTGTATCTAAGATACCTTTCATTGAAGAAAAATCTTCACAACTGTGGCATAAATGTTTGAGTCACATTTCTAGAGAAAGAGTGGAAAGATTAATAAAAAATAATATTCTTCTTCCCCTTGATTTTGGAGACCGTGAAACTTATGTTGATTGTATTAGGGGTAAATTGACCAAGACTAAGAAGAAAAGTCCAACTCGCAGTCTAAATCTTTTAGAAATTATTCACACTGACATCAGTAGACCTTACTCATGTACATTGTGTGGTAATAAATATTTTATTATATTTATTGATGATTTCTCTCGTTATGGATATATTTATTTAATTAATGAAAAATCTGATGCTCTTGAAAAGTTTAAAATTTTCAAGACTAAGGTAGAGAAACAATTAGGAAAAGTCATCAAAATTGTTAGGTCTGATCGTTGTGGTGAGTATTATGGCAAACATGACGTGTCTGAGCAGCATTTGGGAACGTTTGCTAAGTACTTGTAAGATTGTGGGATTGTTGCCCAATATACCATGTCTGGTAGTTCCGAGTAGAATGATGTGGTTGAAAGGCGTAATCGCACCTTTAAAGACATGATGAGGAGTGCGATGAGTAGTTGTAACTTACCTGATTATCTTTGGGGAGAAGCCATTAAAACGGTTTCATATATTCTTAATAGAGATCTCAGCAAATCTGTTCCAAAAACACCTTTTGAATTATAGACCAATAGGAAATCAAGCCTTAATCATTTTCAAAAGTTACAAATCCAAGTTAAGCTTGTTGGTTTCTCACAGAAATTCTCGAAAGTGATAAATTTCATGATTTAGGATTCATATAAAAACAACAATTTCAAGCATATATTTTTACCATGAATCAATAAACACTAACTGGAGCCAATGCTGTTAACTTTGGCTTTCGTCTTTGCCCTTCTTGATGTTCACCCAAAAAATACAGAGATTAGCTTTAGACAAAATAAATTCACAAAAAATCAAAGAAGAAGATTAGCCAGCTCAATGAAACAATAATACTAACACTTGGTGTTTGGTGGGTTTTGGTGGGTTTTGGATAAAGAATTTGGCTTTGTATTCTCCACTATGTTCTGTTTGCGTAGAAAAGGGATGGGGAGAAGGTGTTTGTGCACATGGGGAAGAAGGGTGGGGGTCTGCTAGGTTGCTAGGTTTTTGCGCAGAAGAGGGATAGGGGGGAATACTTGGCTATAACGGTGGTTGTGATTGCAACGAACTCGATGGCGGTGGTTGTGGCTTTGATGGTGGTAACTAGGGATGACAGTGGACCGAAGTAGGGGCGGGGGGTGTAGTCTTTATCCTCGTACCCACTTAAAACAATTTTGTTTATCCCCTGTCTACCCTCGTTAAAAGGTAAAATTTTCATCCCCATCCCTGTCTATTGGTAAATTTGTAATCCCCACCCCCGCCTTCACCACCGCCCCCACCCTCGTCCACCTTACCCACCCATGTCCAAGCCAACATAATTTAAAATTCTAAATAAATTTAATATTTTAAATAATAAAATATAATTATAGAATATCATAATATAATTAAAAGTTTGTCATTTACAACATAATATAATTAAAACTTTAACTACAACATAATCCAACATAATATAATTAAAAGTTTGTCTCTCTTGTAAATTCAACACAATATCATGCAATACAACATAATGTAACATAATATAATCCAATACAAAAAAAATAATTTTCAAAAGAAAAAATCATGTAACATATTGTCACATAATATAATATATAGATTTGTATTCGCAATAACATGTATATAATAATAATAATAATAATAATAATAATAATAATAATAATAATAACAGGTAAAGTGGGGCAAAGACGGGGGTAAAAGTCAGTCCATCCCCGTCTTCATCTCTGTATAGGTTTATACATGTATTTTCATATACGTCCACCTTTTAATACGTATGGTCCATCCCGGTTCAAACGAGATGGGTTTGAACGAATACCTATTTTTATTCGGTCCACTGCTATTTCTGGCGGTAAGAGAGAGAGAGAGAGAGAGAGAGAGAGAGAGAGAGAGTGAACAAGAAACGAAGAGGAAGGTAAAAAAGAAAAATTGAAGGCAAGGATGTAGCCGCCTGTTGTCTGACAATGATAATGATGAAGCTCAAATTCAGCCGTTGGTTGAAGCGGAAATTCCGTTGTGTAGCCGTCTGTTGTCTGGCAATGATAATGATGCTAGTGGTGGAAGGTGTGAGAAGTGATAAGTTTGGGGAGGAAAATGTATGGGATATAAAATTCAAATTTTGAGGGGTTTTATTATATAGATTATTATGGTTTTTTAATTGAATGTGATTCCATAGTTCTTGTGAATTCTGTTTCGGTAGGTTGTGAGTGC